GCTGTTCCCAGGGCTGTATCTCTGTTCCCAGGCTGTTCCCAGGTTGTTCCCAGGGCTGTATCCCAGATTCTCACCGATGTGGGAGTCGATCTCCACGATCTTCTCGATGCTGCTGGGCTCCATGAGGGGGGAGGTGATCCTCTTCTCCACGGCCAGGCACACTCCCTCCGACGTCTGGATCCCGATGGCCGTGGAGCCCAACTGGAAAACAGCCCCCAGGCTCCAAAGTTCCAACAGAAACTCCCAAATCTGCCTTATTTGGGGCTGGGATTTCCCAGGATTCATCCTGTCACTCCCCCCCGGACAAACCCGCTCTGGCTTTCCAAGGTTATTCCCTGAACTGGGAAGTGGGGAAGGTGGAATCCACGGCATTCCCAGCTGGCTGGGCCAGCAGATCCCTCACCTCCCAGGCAACAGCAGCTGGAGAGGCCTCAGGAGTGGGAAAGGCCCTGGGAATCCCCCTCTGCCAGAGGGAAGGAAGTTTAAAGGGAGAGAGGATTTCCCAGATGGGCCCAAATCCCAAATCCCAGCCCGAAACCAGGGCACTTTGCTTTCCAAGAGCTCCTGCTCTGCCCAGTGCCCCGGGAGCTCCAGGACACCCCAGGGTCACTGTGGTGTCCCCACAGCCACAGGGAACATCCCAGGAGCTCCTGGAAACCTCTGCTTGGATCCCATCGGCCCCTGCCTTGATCCCACCTTGATCCCACCAATCCCTGCCTTGATCCCACCTTTATCCCACCAATCCCTGCCTGGATCCGACTTGATCCTACCTTGATCCTAATAATCCTTCCCTTGATCTCACCAACCCCTACCTTGATCTCACCTTGGTCCCACCAGCCCCTACTTTAAAGCCCACCCTGATCGCACCTTAATCCCACCAGTCCCTGCCTGGATCCAACCTTGATCCCACCAACTCTGACCTTGAGCCCATCAATCCTCATCTTGATCCCACCTTGATCCTGCCTTGATCCCACTGTGATCCTACCAAGGCTTACCTGGATCCCACCAGCCCCTGACCTTGATCCCATCAGTGCCTGCCTTGATCCCACCTATCCCTGCCTTGATCCCAAATTGATCCCACGAATCCTTACCTTGATCCCATACTGATCCCACCAATCCTTACCTTGATCCCATACTGATCCCACCAACCCTTACCTTGATCCCATATTGATCCCACGAATCCTTACCTTGATCCCATATTGATCCCACCAATCCTTACCTTGATCCCATGTTGATCCCACCAGCCCCTTTGTTGTCCCCCCTCGATCCCATGAACAACCACCCTAATCCCCCATCCCAGGAGCTTTAATTCCCAATTCCTTGCAGATTTTGTCACTTCCATCACCTTTTCCCCCCTTTTTTTCCCCCACTATCCCTTTATCCCTCATTTTAGTGCTCCCAGGAACTGAAGGCAGGACCCTCCTCTTCCCCAACCCAAACCCCCCAGGGCTCCTTCCCTTCATCCCTCAACCAGTTTATCCCAAATTTAACCTTATGTCCAATCCTATAAATACCACATAATAAACAGGAACATTTTCCAGTTAAGGACATTTAACCCCAAAAGGTCCCTTGGGGCTTCCTGCTCTTAAATCCAACCTTTTAGGGTTGATCTGAGGAGAAACATCTTGGGATTGGGGTTGGTTTGGGGACATGGGAAGGGACCATCCCCCTGAACTGGAGGGAAAACGCTGGGATTTGGTCCTTCGTGACCCTCAGGAGAGCAGAGCGTGGGAAGTTTGGGAGGGAACAGCCCCGGGATTTGTCCCAACCAACCCAGTTTGGGGTTTGGAGGAGCCCCAGGAGCCCCAAAAGCTTGGAAAGGGGGTGGAGATGACAGTACCTTTATGGCCTCGATGGCATATTCCACCTGGAAGAGCCTCCCCTCAGGAGAGAAGGTGTTCACACCTCTGCAGGGACAACAGGGACACTCAGGGGGGCAGGAAAACCAGGAATGGGGGCCCTGCAGCCACCTGGGACCCTCCCAGGGACTGGATTTGGGATGGTCCTGGACACAGGGAACAGGGAGTGTCACAGAACATGTCCCATTCCAGGTTGGGAGCCTCTGGAATCCCAGTGGTGCCCTGAGAGCCCCTGGAATTCTGGAATCCCACGTCCCCAGGTGCCACATCCAGGTGTTTTCTGGACAGCTCCAGGGATGGAGGCTCCAAACCTCCCTGGGCATCCCCTCCCAGGGCCAGACCACCTTTTCCACGCAGGAATTCCCCCAGCATCCAACCTGACCCTGCCAGGAGAGGTTTGTTTTCCCCTGAGGAATCCTTGAGGCTGGAAAAGCTCTCTGGGATCATCGAGTCCAACCACCCCCAGCCCTGCCAAGGCCACCCCTGCCTGTGCCCCCAGGGACCACATCCACAGGTTTTGAGGACACCTCCAGGGATGGGGGCTCCAGAACCCCCTGGGCAGCCCCTTCCCGTGCTTTACAGCCCTTTCCAGGCAGGAATTTCCCCAACATCCAACCTGACCCTCCCCTGGCACAGCCTGAGGCCGTTCCCTCTCTTCCTGTCCCTTGTTCCCTGGGAGCAGAGCCCGACCCCCCCCTGCTCCCTCCTCCTGTCAGGGGGTTGCAGAGCCAGAAGGTGCCCCCTGAGCCTCCTTTTCTCCAGGCTGAGCCCCCCCAGCTCCCTCAGTTCTCCTGCTGCTCCAGTCCCTTCCCCAGCTCCCGCAGTTCTCCCGGTGCTCCAGCCCCTTCCCCAGACCCCCCCATCCCACCCTCACACTCCCTCCCGGGGCTCCCGCCACCCGCGGTGCGACTCCGGCCCGGGAGGCCCCGCTCGGCGCACGGGCCCCGTGACTCAGCGGGGGCGGCCGCACACTCACCGGTCATACTCGGAGCGCGTGAGGAACATTGCGGCGGCGCGGGGCTGGGACTCGGGGGGTTCCGGGGACTTTTCGGGGCTGCTGGGGGGTCTCCGGGGGGTCTCGCGGGCTCCGCTCGGTCTCGACCCTCACCCGGCGCTCCGGCGCCGCTTCCGGTCCTCCCAGCGCCGCTTCCGCCCGCGCCGCGCGCTCATTGGGCAGCGCCGCGCCCCGGTGGCCAATGCGAAGGTGGGGGGCGGGATTAGCGGAGGGGGCGGGGCTACGGAGGGCGTGGGAGACATGGCTGAGGGGGCGTGGTCATGGGACCGCGGGCGGGGCCAGGACTCCGCCGATACTCAGGTGGGGGCGTGGTCTTGAGGGTAGGGCGGGGCCACACTGGGGGCGGGGCCACAGCGCGATGGGACATTTGATTGGGGCGTGGTCAATGGGGCGTGGTTAGATGAGCAGGGGCGGGGTTAGATGAGCAGGGGGCGGGGTTAGAGGGAGAGCACGGCGCGGTACCGGGATGGGGTCCCTGGGACGGGGGTACCAGGGAGGGGGCACCGGGAAGGGGCATTGAGGGGAGCACTGGGGAGGGGATACCGAGACGGGGCACTGGGGAGGGGCACAAGGAAGGGGGTCCCGGGAGGAGGTACCGGGAAAGGGCGTACCGGGGAGGGAGCTGGGGAGGGTGTCCCGGGGAGTGGGACAGGGAAAGGGCTACGGGAGGGGGCCACGGGTGCCAGGGCAGAGCCGCCAGGGTGCCCCCAGACCGTGCCGGGACCCCAAAGCCCGGCACCCGGTGCGGCCCCGGCGGGACCCTCGTGCCGTCCCAGCGTCCCCGACTGACGGGGGCTCGGAGGAACCGATGGACGGACAGACGGACACACGGACCCCCCCGCACTGGGCGGGGGGCACAGGGGCGGCCGGGGATGGGGGCCGGCCCGGGGGAGGGGTGTGAGCCGGGGGGGCTGCTCCGGGGGGCGGCCCGGGGGGGTGAGGGGGCGGGGCCGCCCGGCCCGGGGGCGGGGGGTGCCCGGCGGCGGCTCCGGCAGCGGAGCGGTCCCAGCGGGCGGCGGAGGCAGCACCGACCGCCCCCGGCCCGGCCATGGCCGAGCCCGGAGCCCCCGCGGCCGGTGACAAAGCGACCCGGCTCCAGGTAGGGCTCCGGGGCCACCGGGCGGGCTCCCGGCGCGGCCCCTCGATGACAGCGCACAGACCCCCGGGGGGCCGGTATTAACCCCCAGAGAAAGTCCCACAGTGTCCCGGTGCAGCCGCCTCGGGCGAGCCCCGGTGCAGCCCCCGGTCCCCCGGAGCAGCCCCAGCCCGGGGCAATCCCACTGCAGCCCCCCTGGTCCCTCGGGACAGCCCCGGGGGCGTCGCCCCGACGCCTTGAGCAGCCCCCCCGGTCCCCCGGTGTGGTACCCTCAATTCCCCCGGCCGGGACAATCCCGTTGCAGCCCCCCCGGTCCCCCCGAGCAGCCTCTCGGTCCCTCGGGGCGCTGCCCCCGCTCCCTCGGAGCAGCCCCCAGCCCACTGAGGTACCCCCAGCCCGGGGCAGGCCCCGCTGCCGCCCCCTCGGTCCCGCCTTGCAGCTCCCCCTGCCCCCCGTTCCAGCCTCCCGGGGCAGCCCCCCGGCCCGTTGGCCCCCCGGTGCGGTCCTCGCGGTTCCCCGGCGAAGCCCCCCAGCCCCTCCGTTACAGCCCCCCGGTGCAGCCCCCCTGTCCCCGGAGCTGCCCCCCGGTGCCCCGTTGTAACCCCTCCTCCCTGAGCAGCTCCCCGGTCGCTGCCCCCCCTGCCCGGGGCCATCCCGTGGTGGCCCCGCCGGTTCCTCGGGAGCAGCTTCCCAGCCCCCCGGGGCAGCCCCCGGTGCAGCCCCCCCGTCACCCGGGTCGCCCCCCGCTCCCCCGGGGGTGCAATCCCCCCTGTTCCCTGGAGCGCTTCCCGGTCCCCCAGGGCACCTCGCGGTGCCGTCTCGGTGTTCCCGATGTTCCCTGTATTCCCGGTCCCCCCGTGTTCCCAGTGCTCCCGGTGTCCAAGGTGTTCCCTGTATTCCCAGTGCTCCCTGTGTTCCGGGTGATCCTTCTTTTCCCTGTATTCCCCGTGTTCTCTGTATTCCCGGTGCTCCCGGTGATCCCTGTATTCCCGGTGTTCCCAGTGATCCCTCTAATCCCCGTGCTCCCAGTGTTCCCTGTATTCTCGATAATCCCTGTAGTATTCCCGGTGATCCCTCTATTCCCTGTATTCCCGGTGTTCCCGGTGATCCTTGTATTCCCTGCATTCCCGATGATCCCTATATTCCCTGTATCCCCCGTATTCCCAGTGCTCCTCGTGATCCCTATATCCCCTGTATTCCCAGTATTCCCGGTGACCCCTGTATTCCCCGTATCCCCTGTATCCCAGTGCTCCCAGTGATCCCTGTATTCCCTGTGTTCCCTGTATTCCCAGTGATCCCTGTATTCCCGGTGATCCCTGTCTCCCCGGTGTTCCCGGTGTTCCCAGTGATCCCTGTATTCCCGGTGATCCCTGTCTCCCCCGTGTTCCCAGTGATCCCTGTATTCCCGGTGATCCCTGTCTCCCCGGTGTTCCCGGTGTTCCCGGCTCTCTCCCCCCGCAGGACCGTGTCCTGCGTGGGCTGCGCTGGGGCCGCCTGCAGGAGCCGCTGGGCTTCATCAAGGTGCTCGAGTGGGTGAGTGACCCCCGCGCCCCCGGCACAGCCCCCGCCCCCTCCCCTGGAGCCCCCCCGGCACGAGGGGACCCCGGAGCTCCCCCCGCCCCTCCGGAGCCCCCCCCGCCGGCCCCGTTCGGGGGTTGGGGTGCGGGGCCTCGTGTCCCCCCCCCGGTGACCTTGAGCGGGTGGCCTTGCCCGGCCGGGCCGGGGGGGCCGGGGACACGGGGGGTGGACCGGGGACACGGGGGGCGGGTCCCCCCACGGGCTCAGGAGGCGCTGGGTGGGATGGGGAGGGGTCCGGGGGTCGGCGGGGCCTGGGCCGGAGGACCCTCGGGGGGGCTGAGCCGAGTGCCCGCGGGCCCGGCCCGGCCGTGCCAGGGCCGATCCCGGCGGGATTGGGTTTCAGGGCGGCATTTCCGCGCCTCGGCCTCGCCGGGGCCGGGGGCTCCCGGGGAAACTGAGGCACGGGGGGGGGCTTCCAGCCCGATTTGGGCATCTCCCACCCGCAGCAACCCGACTGGGGGCTTTGCCCCCGACCCCACGGCTCTATGAGTCGGATAATCCCACCTAGGGAGGCCCCCGGGTGTGCGAAGAGACCCCGAAAGCAAAACCGAGAGGGAAAAATCCCAGGAGGAGCCACCGGAATTCCCGGCTTCACCCCTCGGTGCCGCACGTGGGGCTGCCCACGCCCGGGCCGGGAGGCTCGGAATCCCCACTTGGTGGAAAGGCGGGAGCTCGGCCGGGGAGAGCTGCGGGAAAACACTCCGGGAATGGGGTTTTCCCGGCCCCCCCATCCCGGAGATAAGGGCGGTGAGGCACCGAGGGACGAGACGACCCCGGGGGTCCCATCACGGCCGGCTGGAAACCCCCCAGGCGCTCGGCTGCCGCCGAAATTTAAGGGAGGAGGGGAGTGGGCTCGGCCTTGGTGCCCCCCCGAACATCACCCCCGTCCTCAAATCCCGGTGCCAGCAGAATCCCGGTGCCAGCGGAATCCCAGTGCCAGCAGCTGCCACCCGGGGCCGACAGCTGCGGGGTGGCACTTTGCCCGGGACTGAGCCCCGGGGAGTGCAAACCCCCTCCGGGATGAGGGGGGGTCCCCGCGGGGTCTCCCCCCGACCCGTCCCCTCTCCTGCAGCTCTTTGCCATCTTCGCCTTCGGCTCCTGCGGCTCCTTCAGCGGCGAGACCGGGGCCACGGTGCGCTGTGAGAGCGGGGCCATGACGGCCATCTCCGTCCAGTTCGGCTACCCCTTCAGGTGAGGGGGGGCTGAGCCCCGGAACCCCCCCGGGGTCCCTCCCCGAGGGGACTGCGCTGGGGTGAGACCCCCCCTCCCACCGCCAGGACCCCCGTGGGACACGGGCGTGGCCCTGAGGCTGTGTCCTGATGGGGACCCGTCACACCCCGACACCATGGGGACATCATGGGACATCCCTGGGATCAATGGACATTCCTGGGATAAAAGGGCATCCCTGGGATCACAGGGCATCCCTGGGATCATGCATTATTCCTGCGATAAAAGGGCATCCCTGGGGTCATGGGATGTCCCTGGGGTCACAGGGGATCCCTGTGGCTCCAGTTCCCACCACCATCCAGCGGGATTGTTGTTCATCAGGGAACACCAGGGGAATCCCGAGTTATCTGGGAATGTGCTGATGGAGCCAGGCCAGCCCTGAGCCACCAGCTCTGCCCCCTCCCTGTGCCACCGGCCCTGTGCCAGGGCACTGCACCCTGGAAAAGCATCCGGGCTCGGACCTGGCAGCAGATCTGTGCCCTCCTCCCAGGGTACCACCCCAGCCTGGTCATTCCCTCCATCCCCATCCTCCCCGTATTCCCAGGAGACCACCCCAGCCTGGTCATTCCATCCCTCCAGCCCTGGGGGACCACCCCAGCCCAGTTATTCCCTCTACCCCTCCATCCCAGGAGACCACTCCAGCCTGGTTATTCCTTCCATCCCCATCCCTCACCCCAGCCTGGTTATTCCAGCCCTTTCCATTATTCCCTCCATCCCAGGAGACCACCCCAGCCTGGTTATTCCCTCCATCCCCATTATCCTCCACCCCAGCCCCGTTATTCCATCTATTCCCACTCCCAAGGAATGACCCAGCCCGGTTATTCCCTCCATCCCCACTCCCAAGGAACCACCCCAGCCTGGTTATTCCATCTATTCCCATTCCCAAGGAACCACCCCAGTTATTCCCTCCATCCCCACTCCCAAGGAACCACTCAACCTGGTAATTCCCTCCATCTCCATTCCCAAGGAACCACCCCAGCCTGGTTATTCCAGCCCTTTCCATTATTCCCTCCATCCCAGGGAACCACTCCAGCCTGGTTATTCCCCCCTTCCATCCCCTGACGCTCCCTCCCTCCCTCCCAGGTTGTACCAGATTCCCTTTGGGATGCCGGACTGCCAGGAGGAGTCCGAGGCCCGCACCCTGTACCTGGTGGGCGACTTCTCGGCCCCCGCCGAGTTCTTCGTGACCCTGGGGGTCTTCTGCTTCCTGTACTCCATGGCAGCCCTGGGGATCTACCTCCGCTTCCATTCCCTCTACTCCCAGAACACCAAGCTCCCCTTCGGGGTAAGATGGGAACGACTCCCCGGCACCCCCCGATCCAGCGGGGGGGTCCTGGGCCGTGGGGGAGGGGGGTGTGTGTGGGAATATTCGTGTTGAAGGAGGGATGAGTTTTCCGGGGAAAAGCGTCAACCCCGGCAGTTCCTGCAGGGACGAGCTCGTGTCTCCCACCCAGGGAGCGGTACCAGGGTGGCCGTGCCACCCTGGGGGGGGTTCGATGGGCTCTGCTTGTTCCATCCATCCCTATTCCCAGGGGACCACCCCAGCCTGGCTATTCCAGCCGTTTCCATTACTCCCTCCATTCCAGGGGATCACCCCACCCTGGCTATTCCCTCCATCCCCATCATCCCTCACCCCAGCCTGGTTATTCCAGCAATTTCTATCATTCCCTCCATTCCCAAGGAGCCACCTCAGCCTGATTATTTCCATTATTCCCTCCATCCCAGGGGATCACCCCAGCCCAGTTATTCCATCCATCCCCATTCCCAAGGAACCACCCCAGCCTGGTTATTCCAGCAATTTCCATTATTCCCTCCATTCCCAAGGAGACCACCCCAGCCTGGTTATTCCCTCCATCCCAGGGGACCGGAATCATTGATAATCCCAGAACAGAATCATGGGATCATCAACACTGGGAGAGACCTTTAAGCTCATTGGGTCCAACCCCCACCCCAGCACTGCCGGCACCCCCTGAGCCCCCAAACCCCATCCCCTGGACCCCTTCCCACCCCCCACCCCCTGGGCAGCCCCTCCCAATGCCTGACCCCCTTTCCATGTCCAGGGAAGGACAACGAGGCTGGGGAAGGGTCTGGAGCACAATTCCCATGAGGAGAGGCTGAGGGAGCTGGGGCTGTTGAGGCTGGAGAAGAGGAGGCTCAGGGGAGACCTCCTGACTCTCTGCAAGTCCCGGACAGGAGGGGGGAGCCGGGGGGAATTCGGGCTCTGCTCCCAGGAAGCAGCAGTAGGACAAGAGGGCCTTGAGCTGTGCCGGGGGAGGTTTAGGTTGGATATTGGGAAGAGGTTCTTTCCCGAGAGAGTGCTCAGCCACTGGAATGGGCTGCCCAGGGAGGGGGTGGATTCTCCATCCCTGGAGGTGTTTAAGCACAGACTGGATGTGGCATCAGTGCCATGGGCTGGGAACCACGGTGGGGTTGGAGCAAGGGTTGGAGTGGAAGATCTGGGAGGTCTTTCCCAACCTGGCTGATTCTGTGACTCTCTGATTCCATGACCTCCGAGATCATCCACTCCAACCCTTGCTCCAACCCCACCATGGTTCCCAGCCCATGGCACTGTGCCACTCTCTCGGGAAAGAACCTCTTCCCAATATCCAACCTAAACCTCCCCCGGCACAGCTCAAGTTTTGGCTTTCCCAGCCCAGCTGAGTCTCTCGTTCTCTGATTCCATGGCTCCGTGACTGTGATTCCACGATCCCGTGACTCCGCGATTCCACGCTCCCGCTCCCGCAGGATTTCTGTGTCACCGTGTGCTTCGCCTTCTTCTGGCTGGTGGCGGCGGCGGCCTGGGGGAAGGGGCTGAGCGACGTGAAGGCGGCCACGCGCCCCGGGGCCCTGCTGGGCGCCATGGCCGTGTGCCAGGACGAGGGCGTGCGCTGCAGCCCCGGCACCACGCCCGCCATGGGGCTGGCCAACATCTCCGTGGTGAGCATTTGGGGGGTCTGTGGGGTTTAAGGCGTTTGTTCTGGCCAACATCTCCGTGGTGAGCGTTTGGGGGGTTTGTGAGGTTTGTTCTGGCCAACATCTCAGTGGTGAGCGTTTGGGGGGTTTGTGAGGTTTGTTCTGGCCAACATCTCCGTGGTGAGCGTTTGGGGGGTTTGTGAGGTTTGTTCTGGCCAACATCTCCGTGGTGAGTGAGGATGGGGTCTGTGGGGTTTATGGCCAACATCTTCGTGGTGAGTGAGAGCGGGGTTATGGCCAACATCACCGTGGTGAGGGTTTATGGGGTTTGTGGGCTTTATGGGGTTTCTGGCCAACATCTCTATGGTGAGTATGGGGTTTCTGGGGTTTCTGGCCAACATCTCCATGGTGAGTATGGGGGTTATGGGGTTTCTTGGTAATATCTCCACAGTGAGTATGGGGGTTTATGGGATTTATGGGGTTCCTGACCAACATTTCCATGGTGAGTATGGGGTTTATGGGGTTTATGGGACTTCTGGCCAACACCTCCAGGGTGAGTATTTATGGGGTTTATGGGGTTTATGGGGTTTCTGGCCAACATCTCCAGAGTGAGTATTTATGGGGTTTATGGGGTTTCTGGGGTTTCTGGCCAACATCTCCAGGGTGAGTATTTATGGGGTTTATGGAATTTCTGGCCAACATGTCCAGGGTGAGGCGCGGCCGGCGGCATCGGCGTGGGCATGGGGAGGTGGTCACTTGAGGAAGTGGGTTCAGGGGGGTTTGAGTGGAGCTGAGTGACCCCTGGGCCTTGTGGGGCACACACGGGCACAAGGGTGTGATTGTGCCCTTGGGGATGGGGTTTTGGGGCTTTGAGTGGAACTGAGTGCTCCCCAGCCCTTATGGGGTACATGTGGGCATATGTGGGCACATGGGTGTCATTGTGCCCTTGGGGAGGGGGTTTGTGGGGTTTCAGGCAGAGCTGGGCATTGCTGGGTTCCCAAGCTTGGCCAGGAGAGGGCAGTGGGAATGGGGTGGCAACACACATGGGAATGGAGGAACATTTGGGAATAGGTAGGAACACAGGTGGGAATGGGATGGGAACACAGGTGGGAATGGGATGGGAACACAGGTAGAAATGGGGTGGGAACCCCCCACGGCCATGGCGTCCACCCCCCTCTCCCCAGGCCCCATGGGCTGTGGGACCCACCCTGCACCCCCAGGAAACCCCCCCAGCCATGGGGGACCCCTGGGGTGGATGTTTGGGGTCCAGGGGGTGTATGGGGTGTATGGATGTATGGGATATAGGGGGTGTATGGGATTTGAGGATATATGGGATGTGTGGGATTTGGGGATATGTGGAGTCTATAAGGTGTGTGGGATTTGAGGATGTGTGGGGTTTGTGGGGTGTATAGGATATGTGGGATGTAGGGGATGTATGGGGTGTGGGGGGTGTATAGGATATGTGGGATGTAGGGGATGTATGGGGTGTGTGGGGTCCATGGGGTGCCCAGGGCACACGGGACACACACGGTGCTCGAAGCTCACGGGGTGTGTGGGGTGCTGGGTGCTGTTCTCACCCGTGGGTGCCCCATGCGACCCTCTTCCTTCCCCCTCTCCCTTCTCCCCTCCCCGTCCTCTCTCTGTCCCCTATCCCTGTCCCCTCTCCCTCTCCCCGTCCCCTCTCCCCATCCCCGTTCCCTCTCCCCTCTCCCCGTCCCCTCTCCCCGTCCCCCGTTCCCGCAGCTTTTCGGGTTCCTGAATTTCCTGCTCTGGGCCGGGAATTGCTGGTTCGTGCTGCGGGAGACGCCGTGGCTGCGGCCCCCCCCGGCGCGGGACAGCGATGCCGAGCAGGGCGCCATCGACAAGCAGTGACCCCCCCCGGGACCCCCCCGGGACCCCCCCGGCCCCGGGTCCTCGCGCCGGCCGCCAGCCTGGGGAGGGGGCGTCGCTGGGTTGGAGCCGCGGGGGGGGGGGTCGGATGCTCCAGGAGGGGGGGCCGGGCAATGCCGGGGGTCCCGCTCGGGGTCGGGGGGTCTGTGTGTCACCCGGGGGGGGTCCGCGGCTGTGCGGGGGCGCATAAAGTCCTGGGTACCAGCTCTGGGTTGGGGGTCCTGCTGTCTGCCTCGGTGTGGGGGTGCGGCCCCCTTGGGTGGGCTACAGACCCCCTCGGTGGGCTACACACAGCCCTGGGTGGGTACAAACCCCCCTGGGTGCGCTACAGACCCCTCTAATGGGGTGCACACACCCCTAATGGGGTACAGAACCCCCTAATGGGGTACACACACCCTTGGGTGGGCTACACATCCCCCGAGGTGGGGTACACACACCTGGGGGGGGGTACAGACCTCCCTAATGAGGGACACATCACCCTGGTGGGCCACACACAGGCCTGGTGGGCTACAGCCCCCCAGTGGGGTACACACCCCTTGGGTGGGCTACACACAGCCCTGGGGGGGTACTCACACTTGGGGGGGTACACATCCCCCTAATGGGGTACACACCCCCGGGTGGGGTACACCCCCCTATTGGGGTACAGACCCCCTGGTGGGGAACACACACCCCTAAAAGGGTACACACCCCCAGGTGGGGTACAGACCCCCCCCAATGGGGTACACACCCCTAATGGGGGACACCCCCCCCGGATAAGGTACAGACGCCCCCACTGGGGTACACCCCCCCCGGTGGGGTGCACACACCCCTGGGTGCTGGGTCAGAGGGGTGCTGGGGGGCAGTGGGATGGGGGTGAACACGGGGCTGGCCTGGGGGGCTGCCCTGAGCCCCCCTCCCAGCACAGCCTCAGGGGTCAGCGGGGCCCTGGGGGCACTGGGGAGTGACTGGGGTGACCCCCCACCGTCCTGTCCCCCCCCCTTGCTCCCCTCCCATCCCCCCCGATGGCAGCAGAGCCCCCCCCGACTCTCCTCCCCGGGGGGG